CTTTAGTAAACCATTCATTTTATCATCACATACATTTAGGTTTCCACTGAACAATCAGTAATAAATTGATCATAACTTGCTTAATAAAAATCTAATTGATGAGAGGTTTGAATCTTTAAAAACTAGACAGATAGTACTTTAATATGATATTTTATACGCTTAATTTGGATAACTGTAGCCTCCTATCAAACAATTCCTTTTATCATCACACATATTTTGGTTTCCACTGAATAATCAGTAGTAAATTGACTAAAACTTTCTCAATAAAAATCCAATTAACGAGAGGTTTGAATTTTTATAAACTAGACAGACATGGCTTTAATTGGATATATTATACGCTTAATTTGGATAACTATAGCCCTACTACCAAACCATGTTTTTTATCATCACACACATTTTGGTTTTTACTGAACAGTCAATAGTAAATTGACCATAACTTGCTCAATAAAAATCTAATTGATGAGAGGTTTGAATCTTTAGAAACTAGATAGACAGAGCTTTAATTTGATATATTAATTCTTAATTTATATAATTGTAGTCCCACTGCCGAACCATTCCTTTTATCATCTTTCTTTAGGATGCTATCATCAAATGCTTTTTTGTCTATATGGGGTGGTCAATTCTAATTGCAACAAATGGATTTGTGTCACATAACTTTTATCTTCATGACTTCTTCAATGCTTCAATTAAGTTTCTTCAGATATACTGTTGGAGTTGTTGTTGCTTTCTATGGGAGTTCTCTTCTCAACATTCTTATTTTTTTTATTTCTAAAATAATAATAATAAAAATAATTCACTTTCTCTTCTCAACAATCAAAATCAGTTTTTTCCTTTGGCTCTGTAACACCCACATCAAGGTACGTAATTTTATTTATGCCCAATACCCTTAGTTGAATTTCTTTGAAGTTATATTGGACAAATGTGAAGAAAACTCTTTAAAACTTCATTAGGGGTAAAATGGTCTTTTCACTCATAATTAGATGAAAAAGTGAGGAGTGAAAGGAAGCAAAATAATGTGAAGAAGATAATAGAAATGAGAGTATTTTGGTAATTGACTAAATGATATACATGGGATTTCTTAGAAAGTGCAAGGGCAAAATGTGAATACATGTATATATTATTAGTTATAAGGTTTCATTAGACTAAACCCTAACCATTTCTAACCATTGTACACGCCATCCCTCACCCTTTTTTCTCTCAAATTTCTTGACCAAATTTCAAAGAGAATTAATAGGATTTGGCTTAAATTTTGTAGATTTTCAATCCTAAAGCATCCAAAGGTCCATGAGGAAGAGAATTTTAGCAAAGGGAGGTTATACCACTAGTGTTGTACAAATTCAAAGTAAGTAAATCCAACTTTAGTTTTGATTTGAGCAATAATTGTGTAGAATGATTCTTGTATGTTTGTATGAGATTGTATAGTGGGAATTATTGGTTGTTTTGATGTTGAATGATGTGTAAATTTCCAGCCATGAGAAGTAGTGCGTGAGTGTGTGGTGATTTGGTGGAATTATGGAAGAATTATTGTTGAAATTTTGAAGTGTTGAAAATTTGTTGAAACCTGCCAGATTTAAAGCAAAAGTTAGTGAGTTTTTGCTCCAATTTTGGTGGATTCGGAGAGATGTGGAAGTATGGCCAACTAAGTATTTGCATGTGTATATGAATTGTTTGATGAAAATCCAAAGAGAAATGCATGCATGAGTTGGTTAAATCCTATTGAAGAAATTGTTAGAGAAAGTAAAGAATTGGAGTAGAAAGGTTATGTTAGGCTTAACCAAGTGTAAATTTTAGTATTCAAGAGTGCATTTTGTTATGCCAAAATTTAGAATATCACTTGGCCATGTTAGTTCAATGAGATAGATGGCTCTTAGGGTATGGTTCAAGTTACTTGAATATTTACTATTTCTTGAATAGCACATATTTTAGTTATTGAAATTAGAAATTGTGTAACTTATGACTTTGGGAAAGTGTTAGAAAGAAATTGTATGTTAAATTGTTACTTTGATATCACATTATTGATAATAGAGAATGGTAGAATTATGTCATGACATATCAATATGCCATAATGAATTCTCAAGTTTGTGTATTTGAACTTGGAAAAACATCAAAGAATGGGCTTGGCCATACATATATTGTGCATATTATTTGTACATACTTTATTTGATAAGTGAGAATATTAAGGAAAAATGTTAGAAAAGAGTGAGAGAAAGAAAGAAAAGAAAATGGCTTGTAGATTCTTTTTAAGCTAATATGTAAATATGTATATATCCCTATTTATTAAAGAATGCAATTGTAGAACTTCCATAGCTTGGAAATTTATTTAGAAATGTGTATAGAATCCTTTTCAAAAATATAGAATGTTATGTTAGAAGGTTGTTGCAATGGGAAACCCGTGAGTGAGAGAGATGCAGAAAATTCTTACATGCACGCCGCCATCACTGAGCAGCCTCAGAATAGAATAACAGAATTTGTATAGTCCGTTAGAAGTGCATGTGGATGAGGATTATACCCAGAAAGAATTTCATAATACACTTACACGGCCAGGGTTCCAAATCCATGCCTCAGCCTAGTCCAATCGGCAAACCAGAATATAATAAAGAAAGAGAAACAGAAACAGAATAAGAGACAGAAAACAGAAAAGAAAAGAAAATTTATTTCTTAGAAAAAGTTTATTATTTTGCATATGTATTATGCTACTTGCATTATTTAGAATTTCTTATGTGCTCGACGATGTACATTTTTATTAATTGTTCTTGGTCGTTGGTAAGTAGCAAATTAGAATAATAGAAAAGAATGAGGAATAATAGAAAAGAATGAAGTGAGAAAAGGAAAGCCAGAATGTGAGTAACGGAGAACAAAAATAGTGTAGTTTGATTTACTTACTGAGCAATTAGTGTTCACTCCGTTATTTTACTGTTTTTGCAGGTACTAGATAAATTACAGTCGGGTGGGACGTCAGTAAGCGGTGGAGTTTGGTAGCACTGTCTAAGGATATTTTTGTACTTATTAATGTATATTAGTTATTTTATGTATATATATAAAAATCAAAGTTAGTGCTTTTGGATTTTACATCATATACATATATTTATATATGTTTTTAAAAATTATTTAGTGGATTTTTATCATATACCTCTCAAGAATTACTAGCTAGAGAGAGTATTATAGGTTCTGCAAGTCTCTTACTTAAAAGTTTACATTTTTTAACAAGATTTCTCTTTTTTCTGATTGATTTATAGACTTATCAATAATATCCAGTGGGTTATCTTGCAATTTTTTTTGCTTTTCTTGACAAAGTTTTAAACTTTGGTTGCAGATGTCAAATGGTGACATATTTGAGAAGAATCATGATGATATAGACTTTGAGTTAAATTTGTGGATATTTTATTTATTTATTTTTTAATTATCAATTCAATATAAAATGAATTTCAATACAGAATATATATATTTAAAATGCCAAAAAACTAATAATAATGTAAAATAATAATAATAATAAACATACCCATATAACGTATCATTTGTGAGCAAATGACATTTTCAGAATAAATAAACATGAAAACATTACAACAACTTCTTACAACTAATTAGATTATTTTCAAAATTGGATCTTTTAAATTTGTATAATTTAATAATTATTATATCTTAATCTAATTAGTTTATTTTATTAGAATAAATTTATTTCAAAAACATGGAATATACCCACGCAATGTGCAAGCCTTATGTCTAGTTATCTATTGATCGCCACGTAAGAACCTTGGTTGAGTGACACTCAGAATGATGATTTAATAAGATATTAATTCGACATAAAATGATGATATAATGAGATATTAATGCATTGCATTGGCTCTACAAAAATGAACCGGATACGTAGTTTAACGAGATATTAATAGCGGCATTGGAATTACAAATGTTTATATCAGCCCAAGCGTTTCTTAAACGTATCCACTGCTTCATTAGCAGATATCTCATCTCTCTCCACTAATGGCAACTTCCAGGCTCTTACTATCAGACCTCCGTCTTCACTCGCTCTTTATTATCTCACACGCCGCCGCTCTATCACCTCCTCCATGCGACACCACAACCACCGCCAGAGCCGTCAAAGTCGTCCTACTTCCGGCACTTGCTGGTGAGCTCCTTACCTCAGGTAACAGCTTATTATTGGGTATACCGAGGATCTAGGTTCGGCTTCTTTGAGTTTCTTCTAATCTGGGTTTCGTTTCATTGATCCATCACCGAGTGCTTTCATTCCTGTAAGTCTTTTCGAAATTTGCTTCTCTTCAATTTGTTTCTGTTAATTAACAAATGCACAATTCGGCCTCCTCAGTGGATGTCAATCGGTGTGTATTGATTTATTTATTTTTATGTACTGTTAAGTCTTTTAGTTCTTGGGCCAAACCTCAACTTTGGCTGTTGATCAGGTGGTCGACTAAATGAACATGAATCAGATTTTTTATTTAGTTTTTTAAGTTTAAAATCGTATTCTTACATTTTCTGAGTTGTTTCGATTATCAGGAGTGTAGACTGAAGACGGCAGGAAGAGAAGTTCGTGAATACACAAATCTCAGTGACCCAAAAGGTGGAACAAGCTTTTTAATCCAATTCAATTCACTGATTCTTGCGCAATTGTTTGCGCCAATAACTCCATTCCATCTCCAGGTCATTTCGCTTTACAAAAGTATTAAAAAATCAGTCTTAATCTTTTGCTTTGGTTTATTTAATTTTTGAAATGTGATCAAATTTGTTAGGTAAAGGATGTAAATACACAGGCCAATCAGTGGGTAAACTATCTTCCTCCATTGATTGTGTTTATTATTGAATTGTCTAGATGTTTATTGTTTGATTCTATATTATTTTAAGCAGAGAGCATTGCCCATACGTATTTTAACGGTTGTGACGCAGAAAGGCTACTGGCAGGTTGGTTATTTGTTAGCATTCTTTACCAAAATCTTCATATATATGTTTCCTATTCATGTACTCATTTTGTTCCATAATAATTTTCTTGACAGTTTGATATGTGATGTTCTGATTGGTGGTAAACCAACAGGTATGTTCTTCTTGATACCTACAGTCTTCAGCTAGAAGGTTAAAACTGAAATAGAAATGAGTTTCTTTATTTAAAAAAAAAAAAAAAAAATTAGCTTTCAGTGGCAAAGACAAGGAGTGAAACGTGACATGATTTTTTCTGTTCTTATTATGTTACTCAGACTTCCACTGTTCCACATACTGTTTTTTCCAGGATATTGTGCTGGTGGTTGCTCAGCAATTGCAGACTCTGGGACATCATTGTTGGCAGGCCCTACAGTATGAAAAATATGATTCATTTTTGTCGGTAGGATTTTTGTTCACCAATCTCCTATCGGGATATGGTTTGCTCAATGTCCTGCGCATTTTCGCCTGGATTTTGGTTGTGCTGTAAGTCACAAAACTATTTTAGATGTATGGAGTTCATTATGTGGAACTGTGAGATTTATCAAATTACAGATAGGATAAATTAAGAAAGAAAACTATTTTGATTTCCCTGGCATGTTTACTGCTTTTTCTCTTCATAAAAGGATTGAATACAATCATGAATATGTTAGCCTTAAATGTCTAGGTCATACATGATTCTTTATCCTCCATTGATGATTGGCACCAAGCTTGTCATGTCTTCTACTCTTGTAGAAAAGCATTTTTCTCAAATGTTTGAACATAAAAAATGATTTAATGAGTTCTGTGATGTTGACTCTGCATTGCATCATTGGTGGTCACTAAATGGAATTCACTGTCAGCTTCTCTCTTGATATTTGCAGATTGTGATTACAATGATAAATCATGCCATTGGAGCCTTTGGAGTTGTTAGCCAAGAATGCAAGGCAGTTGTTGAACAATATGGACAAAAGCTTTTGGATCTACTTCTAGCTGAGGTAAGTAATTGATCAAATTTTGTTCAGAACTTCTTTTTTTATAGGGGATGCTGGCTGATATGTTTATTCACATGTTGCCCTTACTTTGCATTCCTCCTTTATCTGTCAGGCAAGGCCGAAGAAGGTTTGCTCCCAAATGGGATTATGCACCAGTTCAAGAAAACCAATGAGTGTGTTTCAAGCCAAATGATCCCACTTTTATGCATGTGTGAGACTTGGTTTCAGACCTCCCATTAATTACCCTTCTTGAGTTCTTCAACTTCTCTGCCTTTCTTTTTCCTAATTATTATCTGATGGAACCCAGCACTTTACCAGACCCTCTTCACAACTCACACGCAACACCCACAACTCAAATACAAAATAATAATTACCCAGACGCAACAATCAACAATATTCCAGCATCAATCCAACACAACAGCTCAAAATAATGAAAATGGTATATTAATCATAATAAAGAGTTTAAGAAGAACAAAGAGTTTGTGTGAATAAAACAGTAAAACAGTAGCACCAGCTGGTCTTCGAGGGCCAGCTCCTCCCTAATTGCTAACTTCAAGGGTTAGCTCCTCCCAATTTACCAATATTCTTCTTTTTCCTAATCTGTGCTCTCCCTCTCTTTTTATCCTCCAGCTCTCTCTCTCTCTCTCTGTAACTGAATTCCTTTGTTGTCCCAACCTCTAATCGCCACCTGTCCTAGCCTAAACCCATGGAAGTTTCCTGCCAACATCCCCTCAATCCACTACTTGCTACCTTATTTCACTTTTCCTACACCCTCATTGTCCATGTCCCATCATTATCCCTTGGGGTATCCTGGAATTGATTATATATTGAATCTTAGGACCATTTCAGTGGCTTAGTTGCTTCTATTTTAATGGGTATGAATGGTTTTGACCTTTTAGGTTCTTTTTAAGTTTCAGTTAAAAGATTCTTCTTGGTGAGGTTGAGAGTTGGAGTGGAGCAGCCTGAAATCTGAGCTAATTTGGAAATTAGGTGGTTTTGGACTGAGATTTGTTGTTTGAGTGCATTTTTTTAAAGTGGGTATGTCTTTTTTGGAGTGGTTTTAGGGTTTAATTTCATGGGATATGAAAGATATTAACTTTTTGAAGCTACTGGTAGATTTTGGGGAAAGGTTTTTAGTGCAGATTGGTCAGTTTTGTCACTGAAGAAGCTACATTTTGAAAATTTTTAATTTGGTTTGAGGAATTTGGGTTGGTTTTCAGAGGTTTTTGTGGGTGATTTCGGCTTGAGAGTGGTGCTTTGAAGGTAATAATTAACTGGTTGTGTGGGTTTTTTGGCTTGGTTTTGGTGTTTTAGTTTGAGACAGGGATTTAAGAGGCTGTTTTGGGGGGTTCTTCTTTTGCTCAGCTCTTTATTTGAAGCTCAGTTGTCAACATTTTTCAGGTTGCATTGTGAAAAAAATTATGGCTTGTATGAAACTGGGATCTAAAACTGGTGCCTTTGAACAGGAAGGGCAGGCCCGGTATGAAACTCCATAGGTTTGTTCTCTTTGTGATGTATTTTCTCTGTTAGTTTTAGTTTGCTGAATTTTTCTCTGAGTTTTAGTCAATTACGCTCATCTCCTGTCACTGTTGAAGTTGTTAGTGGTTTAAATTTCTGTATGCATAAATTAGCATTATCCTTATCGACAATAACATCCATCCAACTATCCTTCACTCCAGGATATTCACCCAAAAAAACAACCTTCCAACATAACACGGATACTTTATAACTGAAAGCCTCCATCAAGAACTAAACAAAGTAGAGAAGCTTAATTATAATCAGTACTTCAATGCTCAAACCACTCACAAAGTCTTACCTGTAGAGCACAATCTGGGAAAGCTTCCACAGAAGCATCAGTAAGTCCATGAGAAAATATCAATTCATTGAAGATTTGTTGGCTTATATCTCTTGGCAGCATTGAGAATGAAGTATATTTGTCAATATCCTATTAAGGTTGAAACATGTGAGAAAAGTACCAAGCAAAGAGAAATCCTCAACCAAACACACCCAGGGAATGCAACAAGTACCTCACATATTTTATATATGCATAACTCCATGAGAGATGGACAAGTAACTCCCCCTCGCTTACTTTCCATTGCAGGGCGATCGACTCCCATTACAACTAAACCGTCCAAGAAGAGGAAGCACATGGCAATTGTAAGGCTGGAAGAAATAGAGCACAAAGTTGTAAAAAGATTTCTAAAAGGGTAGGCCGAAAATCATGTTTCAATTCTATCTTTTGCGAAACAGCACATTTTTATTTCTGGTTACAAAGATATAAAGAATGGTGTTAATTCTTTCACATTCATCCAAATATAAACTCATAATATTACCTAAATATATTTAACAATTTTTATGGCTGAATATAATTGGTTTCCGTTATTACAAACTGTTTTAAAAATATCCAATAAGTTTTTCATCTGATTTGTTATATTTCTTTGCAAAATACTGTACATGGAAGTGGGCTTCTTTCTTTCCTTGAATAATGAGCCATACTTGTCACAAATTGGCTGACATTTGACACTTGTAAAACAACTCCATTGGTTCATTAATTGCCCACTCCTCATTGACTGCCACTTTGGCTGAATTTGACTGGAAAGATGAGAGGCTTTGAGATATATATTAACCTTAAATTTGTACAATTTTACAGTTAATTTTAACTGTATTGTAATTTGTACAATTTTACAGTTAATTTTAACCGTGTTGTAATTTATACAATTTTGCTGTTAATCTTAACCGTGTTGTAATTTGTACATATTTTGTAGTTAACCGTGCTGTAATTTGTAGAATTTTGCAGTTAATCTTAAACGTGTTGTAATTTGTACAATTATGCAGTTAATCTTAACCGTGTTGTTTTATAAAAAAGAAAACACATGTGATGCAAATATGCATAATTTTCTATATGCTTGATTAATATGCTAAAAAAAAAAAAAAAAAAAATATTTAATATGATGTAAAGAGAGTTTAAGATCAGCATGATGGGAGAGTTGAACTATTTACTCAGATTGTTAAATAATCCTCCTTAAACGATTCAAGATGAATGAGGCAAAGGAAATTTAGATTAGGGGCACGAAATTTTGAGGGTAGCAAAGATTCTCTAGAAGTTTGCTTCAATTAATATTAAAGTTGAGAAAATTATCTTGTCTTTCAGAGTAGTGTGTGTTGTTGCAAAATCTGTCAAACACATGTCCTTTCATCATATAAATAAAAGTTTACATTAGACATTATGTTCACAAAAATAACTTTAGATTCTATTAATGTAAAATGGGTAATACTAAACTGACAAGCACTTCTCATTTTCTCTCATAAATATAACATGTCAACTTATAATGGGTCTTATCTGTCAAAAAATTGGTCTTATTTGACTAAATACGAACTAACCAATTGTGAGTTGTTACATTACATTTGTGAGAGATATAAAATAAGTGTTTCAAACCTTAAGGTTCTGTTAATATAAATTAAATTTTATCATAACTTTAGGTTGTGTTAATGTACATTAAATTATATCATAACTTCAGGTTTTGTTAGAGTAAAATAAATATCTTAGGTTATGTTAAGATAAATAATTTTCTCAGCAGTTCAAGTTTTGTTTTAGGATTGATTCTGAAACTTCCAAAGTTTGGATATTGTCATATTTTTGCAAACTAGCAAATAAAATAATAAATAACACTGATACAATAATTTAAAAAAAATAAAAAAATACAGTGAATAATATTACACAATAATATAATTTGAATAAATAAACAATAATTGTTAGAAATATAAAATAAATAAATTGTAATGCCAATTGACATATAAACTAGCCCTACTTTTTTATGTGGAAGATTCGGCTTAATGGCGGCAACCACAAAGCATACTTATATGGTTTTTTTTTAATAATAAATGAATAACATACAATAAATTAAATACGTAATGATAATAATGTTTAACAGAATATATACGTATTAAACATAAATAATGTTGTGTATTACAAATGTAATTAAAATGATGTATAAATTAAATACGTAATGATAATACTGTATTATGTTGACTATTGTGATATAGATTTCGAATATACAAAATGATTATTTAAACCTTTCTAATTGATAAATTGCAAACATAAAAATTAAGAAACTTTGATTTAGTTTGTTTTCTTGTCACCAGTAGTTATGTTGCATTCTAACACGTCCAATGGTTCTCCCTAATTTTTTTTTTTTTTTTTGTAAAACATTATATAATATAATGTATAGATCAATGATTGGCTTTTGGTGAAAATTAATAAACTTTTTTTATTACATGAAATTTGTATGTTTGTTACATGTACAACCGAGCCTAATAAACCACATGATTGATAACATAATTAGTTTTACTTAAAATTTAATGAATTTCCCTTTCAATATTTTTCATAACACGTAAGTAAAATTCCTTTTAATGAATTATTCTAAATTCCATATCCCAAATGATATTGATGAGTGCTTGGAAGCGCACTCATACTTAGTGATTTTAAGGGTATTTTATGAGATAATTAGATTTAATTGGTTAATTTTACTTAATATCTATATCTCTTTTGTTTTCTAGAATCACGTGTATGTTTTGTGAATTTTCAGGTATTTAGGTGCTGAAGATGAGGATTTCAAGCATGGACATTAAAGGGGAAAGAATCAGAATCATGTAAGAACAAACACTTCAAGAATCAGAGCTCAAACGAAGAAGTTACGGATTTTTTAAGATTGTTCGCGGCGGAGGATTTTTGTGCTGTGGCGTGAGTGAACATGCTGCACTAAAATGGGTGTAACTTTATCTACAAAACTCCGATTGACCTGATTCCAGTGGCGTTTGAAATATAAGAGATATATCTATAAATTTTATGTTTGATCTTGATCAAGTTAAATATGTAAGATGGTTAAAAATTGAACCAAAAGTTACATCAGTGCATAGAAGACAAGCAGACGCGGGTTCTGGAACATCCTCAGTGTTGCAACGATAACTTGAGCT